TGTCTCGACCTTAAGTCAAGACTCACACAGCGGGGGAGTATTAAACCCACACCAAGTGCGATAAAATGTTTGAGACTAACCTCCTAACTAACTGTGCTACCGCCAAGGAGATTGGCCCAATGGAGTTTTGAACCTAGGACCTAGGGGCTTAATCTCTCGGGCTTTGCCAAGTTGCAAACCACCGTTGGGGTTAAATGTTTTGGTTTCAATTTTTTCTTATACTTTGATATGAGGAATGAAATATAGTTTAAGAAATCAAATGCAAGTCCTATACACGTGCTGGTTTATCAAAGTTATTTATAACTTTTTATTATTTTTTTATTATGAAATTTTGTACTGTATTGTTTGGTTTAGTTTATTCTTACAGCTTTTAGGCTTGTTTTGGGAAGGTGGAAATAAATAGTTTTTTGGTTTATTTTCTTGTTTTTTGGTTATTCACAAAATTATTTGGGAAGCGTTAGGTTTTTGCTTATTACAAAAAAATTTGTAAAAAGTATAAATGTGATGTGATCTAAATAAGTCAATAAGTTAATAAGTTGTCTTGTCACTTCCCAAAATGGGCTTAAATATTTTTTTGCTTTTTTGAAAATTATTATTATATGGTGTTACATCATTTGGAAAATTATAAATTTGTCATATTACCCTCATGCATTATTAATGTATTTTTGTATTTTTGTCAGAAGCCATATAGCCAAGAATATTTTGATAATTTCACTTGTTGACTTATTTCTCACTTTTCAAATGAATTTTTGATGAAATAAATTGTTCTTTTGACTATTTGGAAATAAGTCAAAAGTTTTGCTTTTTTCTTTGTTTCCAAGTAAGGCCTTAATTTGAGAAAAAAGAAAGAAAAAAAATTGGGGTTATTTTTAAAAAGTTAAAAAAAAAACAGTTTATTTCATCAAAAATTCATTTGAGAAATGAGAAATAAGCCAAAAAGTTAAATTATCAAAATATCCTTGGCTTTCGACAAAAATGCATTAATAATGCTTGAGGGTAATATGATAAATTTATAATTTATAAGTGATGCGACATTATATAATAATAATTTTTAAAAAAATTGCTCATTTAACACTTCCCAAATAATTTTTGTGAATAAATTAAAAAGTAAACAAATAAATTAAAAAATTATTTATTTTCATTTTTCCAAAACAAAGCCATATTAGACAAATAAGCTTAACTATCTAGACGTTGGAGAAGTAGGTATTTATTACTTGTTCTGGCAAAGGTAGCTTTTAGCTCACCCAAGTCAAAATTATATTGCCAAAGGTTTTTTTTTTAGCTTGATTTCCCAAAATCAACTTCAATGGTAAATTCATGGCTAAATTATAGTTGTGTTACATAGTGCCACATTTGGTATAAAGTTTGACAAAACCAAATATGCCACATCAATATATTAGTTTCTGCTAATTATGGTGAAATGATTTACTGATTTTTGTTTCACCGAGAATTTAATTTATTTATTTATTTTTTCATTTTCCTACGTTTTGCATTTTTTACTTTTGGTATAATTAAAACAAAAATTAATAAAAAAATATTTTTTATGATCAATCAAAAAAATACTTACGTGACAAAAAATGTTTTCCTTTTACAAAGTTTTCCAACCTAAAATCTTATCAATATCATCACACTTCTATCCATCCACCATCACTACCTCCCAACAACCTTCATCGCCATTGCTATCACTACCTCTACCTCTATTCCACTACTACCACCCCATAACTGCCACATTCCACCACTGCCTCTGTACCACTACTACGAATACAACTATCAGTATTTAAGATGCAATCAGAAGCAAGAAAAGGTCTTTGGAAAAAAATGTGAAACTTTTTTCTGTCAAAATGATTTTGCATGGAAACATACGGAGCAAGACAGTGGTAGTTATGCAAAAAAATAAAATAAAATAAAATAAAATAAAATTAGACATTGAAAGAATGAATAAAATGACATTGAAGATGTTCTAAACATGCAATCTAAGATTACTACCAAACAAGCTTTAGCTTCAGCAATGGCATGAGAGAGATGGATTCATAGGACCCAGCAATAGGAACCAGAGATTATTGTTAAAACCTATCACCTACCACCAAATCTACCATCACCTACTCCACCTACTACACCTACCACTTCACCTACTCCCCTTCACCTACCTTCACCTACTACATTCTTCTCTTCTATATATATGAATCATTGTAAACATATCAGAACAACAATCAATAATACATTAATTTTTTACATGGTATCAGAGCAAGGTTAACAACCTAGTCATTCTGCTTCACCGGCGAGCGGCAGTCTCGCCTTGGCCGCCCGCCGGACCTCTACACATACCTTCCCTCCGCTGCCACAAATTATTTGATCTTCTTGTTGCTGCTGCTAACAAATTCCATGGCAGAACTTCACCTTCAAGATCAGAGCATCATCATCATCTCTACTCCTTCCGAGTCAACACACGCCTCCGTAACCGCCTCCACGAACAGAACTCCCTCGGCGTTGCAATTGATTGATTTGACCGTCCTCGTCTCTACCGAGCCGCCCCGCCATGGGGTAGAACGACACGAGCGCTCTGCTCAGCCCTAGCTTCATCGTCTGTGCATCGAAGAAGTTGATCGAACCATTCGGTTTGTAAAAGTAGACGCTCGGTGTGTGGAAACTCGGCACCACCAGGTCCACGTTCGAGTTCCAAAGCCTCACCGCCGGAGTCTCCTCCGCCGGCCACACCATCGTCGATTCCCTCACTTCTATCTTCATTTTTCTTCCTTTTCCCTTCTACCCTTCTCTTTTCCAATTCTAACTGTGAGTTTACCGACTTTTGATGCATCCCGAACATCAGAGTCCTCAACTGTACTTTTTCTTTTTCCTTACACTCCTGTTCCCCACTCCCCTTTCTTTTCTTTTTTTTATATTTCTTTTACTCCTTCTTTTGACAAGAAATCGAATATTTCTTTTACTTTTTCTTTTGACAAGAAATCGAAACATCCACTAGTTTGCACACCCATTCTATGATACCTATTATTATTATTATTATTATTATTATTATTATTATTATTATTATTATTCTTATTAAAAAAAAAAAAAAAAACCAAACACCATTGCAATCAATTTACACATTTGCACAACCAACCATATTTTATTCATCTCAGAGAACAACCCCGATCACACTTTTACACAACCAAAAAAAAAACAAAAAAACCAACAAAACAACCACATCCACCAGCGGGATTTTTCTTCTCTACTCTGCCGCCGGTCTCTTCTTTTTGCCTCCGTCCTGAGCGGCCCTTGACGGTGCTGCCTCCGTGTTTTCCACGCCACCGAGCACGTTCACTCCCCCATACTCCTCCACTGCAACATATGGCGGACCTCCAAATCGGAACATCACGGTGGCCTTTCGCTTCAGCTCCTTATTTTCTGCTTTCAGCACACTTATCTCTGCTCGCGCATCCTTATACATGCGCTGGAGCAGAGCCAGTTGGGCATTTAACTGCTGCACCTCATTTGTCCTACTCTGCAGCCGGTGCGACAAGTTTGTGACCGCAGTCATGGTTTCCACACATGACTTCAATGTATACTGATTGGCTGCAATATCCGTTTGCACTTCCATTTTTTGCTCCACAGACCGCATAGGAAAGTTCAACGGAGTAAACCCTGGGGCGCTTGGTTGAGGTTCAAGGGCCACCGCACTAGTTATCTCTCTTGTGGACTCGTTGAGGTCGGGAAAGAGAGTGAGCAGACCACGGGCCGAAGAGGCCATATTCTGGGTAGCTGACCGGGAAGAAGAGGCCATGTTTTGGGTTGCTAAGTGTTTCAGCGAAGTAACAATTTCAGACCGGTAATGTCCGGAAGGGTTGGTTGCAGATGTTTCAGAAAGCCAATGTTCAGATGTTTCAGCCTTGGTTTGGTTTACACAGCCTCCGCTTCGGTTTATAAAGACCATGACGAAGAGGCCGACACGCGTTCTGTCGATCACGTGCATCGCCGCGTGTCTGGCGCGCCTTTTGATGGCTCGCCGTTCGAGGATTTCTGTCGGGCACGACTTTTGATGAAGTGGGGCACGCCTTTTGAGGGCGCGCCTTTTGAGGGCTCGATATATATATCCATGTATATTTGGGCAGCCTCTATACACCTTCCTACAGTGTATTTTACAACGGTCCGACATGACCCCATAAACTGTCCCGACATTTGAGGTGAGGTCTAGCATCGTAATGATGTGGATAGGCTGCATGGATCAGGAATGCATGTACCTATAATAATGATCTAAAATGGGGTAATCCACAATCACCAAGTTGTCTACAATGAAATATAAAAGATATGTTGCAGTTTTTTCCTTGTGTAGCCTATGAGGCTATGACTCATTTACTTAATTCCTTCAATTATGTTACTCCGGATTTTCTGCAAGAGAGAGTGGAACCATTTAAATCCACAGCACAACCAGTTCTCTCCTTTGGAAATTTGGATAGAATATTGTTAGAATTTACCTTCACCTACCACACCTACTACACCTACCACTACCTACTCCACTTCACCTACTCCCCTTCACCTACCTTCACCTACTACCTTCTTCTCTTCTATATATATGAATCATTGTAAACATATCAGAACAACAATCAATAATACATTAATTTTTTAGAATTATCACCATGATTTCACATAAAATAATACCTATAGTTGTGCAAAGATAAAAACTCGACGGTGGATATACATGTTTAGACATTGCCAGCCTGCATACCATCTGTCACAATCTAGTAGGGAGAAAAGAACAAAAAAAAATGGAAAAAGACACCGCCTCCTATGGAGCTTCATCCCCTCAGAAACTAGCACACAAAACCCTAATTGGTGATAGTGATTGTAGTATATCTATCTTTGGACATGGTGGACAAAGATAAATTTGTTTGTACGGCATCAAACTCTCACAATAATTTATAGTGCACCACAAATGTTGTAAAAAGAGGCTCATAAGGAGCAAATTATTTAAATTAGATTAGATCTAATTCATACAGATCCTCTGAACTAAAGATGGAACAGTTTCTACCAAGAAATTCAAGAAATGATCACTTTTAAAATAGTAAAAGGAACGTTTCAAGGACTGATTACTGATTATTCAGAGCTAATTTAATTAAACGAGCTGATATTGTTACTGTCTCCATTGGTTGGAAGTCTGAAACACCCGAAAAGACCAGCCTTTTTCCGTCGTGGGCTACTTCTCCCACTGTGAATGAAGTCTCTCAGGATAGTGGTTGTTTTGCTCCTGGAAAATCGGCTTTTCTCATTGTTTTTCTTTTCATCCAATAGTTTCAGCAAGACGTAACGGATTTTTGGAACCTCCAATTGCAACCATCCGATCTTTTCAGACCCTTTTCGTACCTGTTCCAAGACTCTCTTTCTTTGGACATCCCCAGCCTCTTCCAACTTTGGTGAAGCATTTCCATCCAAATGCAATGGGCTCTGCTCGATATTTTGTGACAGTTGACCGTTAACCTCCACGAGCTGCATGATAGTTTCCTCAACTTCTTGTAGCTGTTCCTTCACTGTCTCAAAATCAATGCTCTTCGCCTTTTTTCTCTCCTTGTTCATCTCAAATTTCCTTCTCAGGTTTTCTACTGTTATCATAAGGTTCTTCAACATCTGAGCATCTGAATCGAGTCTCTCCAAGATCTTTTTCTTGTTCTGATCCTGATGCGTCTCAGGAACACATGTGGGTACCTCTAATCTATCAACACCCAACTCCTTCCCAACTTGTAAGTCCATAGAGTGATTTTCATTCTTGTGCTCTGCATGCTCAAACTCCTGGCACGGAGTATCATCCTCTGTTGGTTTGTTTGCTTGCTTGTGTGACTCTTTGAGTGTTCGATCAAGACCACAGCCGTCCTCTGCAGCTTCCCATAACTCAAGCATCTGATCATCAGCCCCATGATTCCTTCTCCTGCTTATTCCATACAATGAACCGTCTGAAACGTGATGAAGTGGTATATCTTTCATCAGAATCCCATTCCTCACTTCAGAAATTTCCAGTTTTGTTTTCTGCAACTTGAGTCTGTCAACGAGCTCATCTCGAAGCTCCATCTCTGCCATTTGTTTGTCTTTTTTTAGACTGACACGGTCGTTGGATTTCAACTCTTCGAACTCTTTCAAAGCAGCGTCTAGCTTGATGTTGGTGTGTAAGCTTTTCTGCATCACCAGCTTTTTCTTCTCTTCTATTACAACCTTTTCAACTGCTTTAATCCTAGTTTGCAAATTCTGCAATGCTGAAATTCTGTTCAGTATCGCAGAGTTATGATCTTCCATCGGTTCTTGACATCTTTTCTCACGATAATGAACCAATTCCACATCCTGGAATATGTGCAGGAAAGAGAAGGATCAAGTTTTAGTTAAAGATTTTCTGTATTAAATAGAGCATTCAACTAGCACATATGGACAGAACTTGGTGTAACAATTTGCAAGACGTGCACAGCTTGCTCGAGTTCTAATAAATTTTGAGTTAAAAAGAAAGTTCAAGAACAAGAAGAAATTCTCAAATCTCTCTACAATAAATATTAAATGTTAACAGGGTATTAAGAGGGAAAGTAAAATGCAGTGGTGTGATGTTAGTCTCCCATGTATTTAACAGTACAAAAGTCAACAATTAAATGAAATCAATCACCAAAATCTCAGCTCGGACACGTGGCAACGGCTGGTTGGTTCTCCCCGAAAAGGTGGCTGACAGACCAGACAAGTATGGCGAAAGGGTGTTTAACAAGTAAAGCGGTATGGCATTCTGACAAGGTACTGACATCGGGTGAAAACATCGGCTCCAGTAGGTGAGGTATCTATGTATTTAACAGTACAAAAGTCAACAATTAAATGGTATCAACCACCAAAATGTATTAGAAAAGGGAAAATGGTACATAAGAATGAATAAAATGACATTGAAGATGTTCTAAACATGCAATCTAAGATTACTACCAAACAAGCTTTAGCTTCAGCAATGGCATGAGAGATGGATTCATAGGACCCTCAGCAATAGGAACCAGAGATTATCACCATGATTTCACATAAAATAATACCTATAGTTGTGCAAAGATAAAAACTCAACGGTGGATATACATGTTTAGACATTGCCAGCCTGCATACCATCTGTCACAATCTAGTAGGGAGAAAAGAACAAAAAAAAAAATGGAAAAAGACACCGCCTCCTATGGAGCTTCATCCCCTCAAAAACTAGCACACAAAACCCTAATTGGTGATAGTGATTGCAGTATATCTATCTTTGGACATGGTGGACAAAGATAAATTTGTTTGTACGGCATCAAACTCTTACAATAATTTATAGTGCACCACAAATGTTGTAAAAAGAGGCTCATAAGGAGCAGATTATTTAAATTAGATTAGATCTAATTCATACAGATCCTCTGAACTAAAGATAGAACAGTTTCTACCAAGAAATTCAAGAAATGATCACTTTTAAAATAGTAAAAGGAACGTTTCAAGGACTGATTACTGATTATTCAGAGCTAATTTATTAAACGAGCTGATATTGTTACCGTCTCCATTGGTTGGAAGTCTGAAACACCCGAAAAGACCAGCCTTTTTCCGTCGTGGGCTACTTCTCCCACTGTGAATGAAGTCTCTCAGGATAGTGGTTGTTTTGCTCCTGGATAATCGGCTTTTCTCATTGTTTTTCTTTTCATCCAATAGTTTCAGCAAGACGTAATGGATTTTTGGAACCTCCCATTGCAACCATCCGATCTTTTCAGACCCTTTTCGTGCCTGTTCCAAGACTCTCTTTTTTGGACATCCCCAGCCTCTTCCAACTCTGGTGAAGCATTTCCATCCGAATGCAATGGGCTCTGCTCGATATTTTGTGACAGTTGACCGTTAACCTCCACAAGCTGCACAATAGTTCCTCAACTTCTTGTTGCTGTTCCTTCACTATCTCAAAATCAATGCTCTTCGCCTTTTTTCTCTTCTTGTTCATCTCTAATTTCCTTCTCAGGTTTTCTACTGTTATCATAAGGTTCTTCAACATCTGAGCATCTGAATTGAGTCTGATCCTGATGCGGCTCAAGAACACACGTGGGTACCTCTAATCTATCAACACCCAACTCCTTCTCAACTTGTAAGTCCAAAGAGTGATTATCATTCTTGTGCTCCGCATGCTCGAACTCCTGGCACGGAGTATCATCCTCTGTTGGTTTGTTTGCTTGCTTGTGTGACTCTTTGAGTGTTCGATCAAGACCACAGCCGTCCTCTGCAGCTTCCCATAACTCAAGCATCTGATCATCAGCCCCATGATTCCTTCTCCTACTTATTCCATACAATGAACCGTCTGAAACGTGATCAAGTGGAATATCTTTCATCAGAATCCCATTCCTCACTTCAGAAATTTCCGGTTTTGTTTTCTGCAACTTGAGTCTGTCAACAAGCTCATCTCGAAGCTCCATCTCTGCCATTTGTTTGTCTTTTTTTAGACTGACACAGTCGTTGGATTTCAACTCTTCGAACTCTTTCAAAGCAGCATCTAGCTTGATGTTGGTGTGTAAACTTTTCTGCATCACCAGCTTTTTCTTCTCGTCTGTTACAACCTTTTCAACTGCTTTAATCCTAGTCTGTAAATTCTGCAATGCTGAAATTCTGTTCAGTATCGCAGAGTTATGATCTTCCATCGGTTCTTGACATCTTTTCTCATGATAATGAACCAATTCCACATCCTGGAATATGTGCAGGAAAGAGAAGGATCAAGTTTTAGTTAAAGATTTTCTGTATTAAATAGAGCATTCAACTAGCACAGATGGACAGAACTTGGTGTAACAATTTGCAAGACGTGCACAGCTTGCTCGAGTTCTAATAAATTTTGAGTTAAAAAGAAAGTTCAAGAACAAGAAGAAATTCTCAAATCTCTCTATAATAAATATTAAATGTTAACAGGGTATTAAGAGGGAAAGTAAAATGCAATGATGTAATGTTAGTCTCCAATGTATTTAACAGTACAAAAGTCAACAATTAAATGGTATCAATCACCAAAATGTATTAGAAAAGGGAAAATGGTACACGAACAGAATTTTTATACAAAAAAAAAAAAAAAAACTAAAACAGAACCCTAATAAAACAGAATCATATGGCAGTGGTGTAGACGCGCCCGCGGAGGGGCACCTCGCTACTACAGTTCGGACTCTCGATTTTTGTTGTCGCGGTTCTTAATCTGAACAAAAGAGTCCAAATCCGGCAAATCGTTTTGAGAAAGGCACAATGATGTGTGTTTTTATTTGAAATGAAGGACCAAAAAAAATCTCTTTTGAAATCATGAGCAATAAGGGTTTTGAACAAAATTTTCTTTACAACATTACTTTGTGATACCAAAAGAAAAAAAAATCAAAAAATTAAGAAAAATTTGTGATCGTCGAGTGAAACCCTTCGAAGGATACCAACTATTCAAAGTAAATATTGCAAATGCTATGAACACAAACGCTAGACTATAATGATAAAAAACAAAATAAAAGATCTAATTTCACATGGGTTCCAATTGCCATCTAATGCAACTTTGCTTTTATTATCGACATGGTAAGGTAAGTCCAATTCCTAAAAGTAAAATTTATACATGTTATGTTAGTTGCATTCAAAAAACATCAAATGTGTGGATGACATTAAGAGAATTTCTGCCAAGTTGATTCAGGATAAAAAAAAAAAAATACTTTCTCTGGTCAAAGTTATACTAAAGAACACACCTTTTGTTCTTGATTGTCAGCAACGTTAAGCTCCGGCAGAGAGAGGACATTGTGCTCCAGTGATGCTATGTTATCTCTCAGAGAATTTATGGTAGGAGCATATGCAAATAACTGATCCTTAAGGCCTCCAATTTCAGTCTCCATGAAGCTAACTCTTTCTTTCATCTGTTCTATCTCAACTGTCTTAGAAGCATTTTCGTTTTCAAGAGTTTCACATACTCCAGTAAGCTCGTTAAACTTATTTTCAAACAAAACTTCACGGATGTCGGAGATTTGAAGATCGAACTGGAGTGTTGCAGCCTCAGCCTCCCACATTTCAAAATCGTTGCCTATCTCTTGCAGCTTCGAATTCAAGTTCTCTTCTCTAATTCCGTGTACTTCAACATCTTCCCGTAATATACCCAGTTCAGAATCTAAGTTTCCATTAACTTCACGAAGGCATTCGATTTCTTTGTTCTGGCTTGCATTTTCTTTAGATAGTTCAAAAATGTGCTTTTCTAAATTTTCCTTCATGAGTATTGATTCCTCATGTTGCTTCTTCAGTCCTTCCACAGTTCCGCACAATTCTGAATTCAGATCCTCCGTAGCTTTAAGCTTCTCCTCTGCTTCCAAAAGCTTGATTTCCTTCTGACACAAGAAATTCTTTCCCGTTGAGATTTCATGCCGCAATTGATTATTGAAATCTCTGACCTCAAGCAGCTCCTCCTCCAACTTCTTCATTGAATCTTTGAGAAGTAAATTTTCCGTTTCTTTCATTTCTAACTCCCCTCCCAATACACCAACCTCCTTTTTAAGGTCACTATTGACCCCATGAAGATTGTGCACATCTTCACAGAGTAATTTTAGTTCCACAGATTTTTCAGTTCCAAAGTTCTTGAAAATCACTGACAGGTTATCAAGAGCCAATGTTTCCAAGAGAATAAAATTGTTTTCCTCTTCTGCCATGCATTTCTCTTCCTTTAGCTCTGAGAGAGTTTTCAACAAAGACCTGTTTTCTGCAAGCACTTGAGAATATTCGCCCTGTAATTTAAGGTAAGCCCTCTGCAAATCTCCTTTCTGCATGCATAGCTGCTCCATTTCAGCCTTAACCGTGTTTGCATATTGATCTCCCATTTTCACTTCTGATTGTCTGTTTATCTCTAGAAGTCTGTGCTTCTCATTTTGCACCATCACAAGCTGCTCAGTCATGGCTTTGAACTCCTGCTCTAAGATTTTCCTCTCTGACCCAAATTCCACACCTTCTAATCTCAGTTGCCCAACCAGAGTAAGAAGAACAGAGTTCTCAACCAACAGCTGCTGCTTATCATCCTCGTAATTCGAGAGAGAACATTTCATATCCTCAATAGTCTCTTTAATATGATGCACAAATATTTGCTCATTTGCAATCTTATTGTCCAGTTCATTATCTAGACCAATTTCAAGAGCCTTGAACACTTGATGATATATACCCATCCTTAGCTTTTCAATTTCATCTAACAAGAGTTCTGCTTCCACCTGCTGCTCAGGATTTTCACTCTCTAACTCCAAAACCAGTTTCTCCGTCAATTTGGAGGCCTCGACATGTTTCTGACACTCCATCAATAGAGTGTAATTCTTTTGTTCCATGCCTTGTATAAACTTCTGTGAAACAAAGATCTCGAACTGGGCATTCATAGCTTTATCAAGTTCTTCGAATTCTTTCTTCCTCCACCTAGTTTCTTCTTGCAAGAGTTGGATATGGTTTTCCAGACAAGGCAATCGTGCCCCACTTGACAATGCAAAACTTGCCCGCTCTTGTTTTTCTACACCTACAGACACCTTTAGTTCTTCCACTTGAGATAGCGTGGATTCTTTCTCCTTCTCCATGCCAGCGTATTTTTGTTCCAATACTGCAAATCTCATTTCCAGGTTTTCTAGTCTCCGCTCAACGTTGTCCAACTGAACAACCAAAGTATTGGAACAGAGTTCTTCTAAGCTCTTTGATTTTTCCCTCAAACCTTCAAGTTCAACATTTGCACCAAAGAGGGAATTCTCAAGAACGGTGTTTTGCTCCAGGATCTTCTGCATATTGTCAGTAATAATTTGTGACTCAGACAGAACGGCTGCTTTCTCAGAAACAAGGGCAGATTTTTCACCATGTAGAGATTGGCAAGACTCTTGCAATGCCTTGACATTTGCTTGTGACCCTTTCAACTCACTGCTCAAATCTAACAACGAACTCTCCAAAATAACATTCTTATCTAAAAGTTGTTCCATGTTCTCCAATTTCTTGAAAAGAGCTTCTTTATCATCTTTGTCCTCCTTGCAAATCTGTCTCAGCTTTGTGTTCTCATCCTGCAAATCTCTCACGGATGATGCAATACATTTTGGGTTCAAACCTACTGACTCCACTTGCTCCATTAAAGCCTGATATCTCTTATTCTTTGTAGTCTCGAGCAGAACCACACTGTTAAGGCATCTGATTTCCTCTTGAGCACAAGAGAGTTCACACTCCAGCTTAGATATTTTCTCCAAGCAATGCTCATACCGATGTGGCATTTCAGGTCTGTGAGGTTCACATTCTGCCATGGTTCGATCGGCCTGGCAGAGCTGCCCCGTTGTGTGATCATACCTTTCCGCCAAGGCACGGTACGCTCGGTAGAACTCCTCAACCAGTTTCATGAGCTCGGGCCATTTTTTGTAGTACATTTCTGCCCTTCTTGCAAAGGAATCTGCATCTTCTTCAATGAGCATGATCATTGCTGTGACTTTGGCATCCATATCTGTTCAGAAAACCACATGTGGAAGAGTTAATATTGTGGCCTAGAAAAAGGCTTTAAAACTGGCCATCCAATATTTGGGACACTTAAAATATGATTTCAAACAGGCTGAAATCCATTTATTATTATTAAAACAGGGGAAGCATTGGGACCAATTATGACTGGAACTTTTATGACTGTTAAAAACAAAAGACAGATGGATCAAATGACCATTAGATCAATTTTCTTAGAACGCGCTAAGGTGATCTACGTGCTCTCATTAATGAATGCAAAGCATCATATGAAAAAACATACAAACTAGTAGGAAATGATATGAAATACAAGAAGCAACTTACTAGACCTCTTGGAAGAAGAGTGTCATTCATGCTGATTTCAACTTCGTAACAAGGTAGCAATAATAGTATAGAAAGTAGGAAAAGATAACATTCGAGGACATGTTAATGATAACCCATAAACCTAACAACCGCTAATTGTCATGGACCAAAACCAGAATAATTTATCAAAAGAAAATTAAGAATTTCATATAGGCTGCAGAACCTTAGGTGGGAAGCTATAGCATGGAAGCCATACCAGAAAACTTGAAAAATAGAAAAAAAACAGCGAATAAGACTTCAACTTAACACTAGCATTGTCAGCTCTTTCTCAGCTTGAAAATGAAATACATCCCAATCTGGGAATAAATGGAAACTAAAAATTAAGGAAGGAAGCACCATCAAGAATCATATTTGCATGGGAAAAAGGTTAAAATTTGAAAACACAACAGTAATGCCAATGCCTTGGGTTAAACTGTATTCTGAGTTACTCCGCAAAAACATGGTTCTAAAACTCGATTCTTGGTTTGAACCACATAATTAAGGAAGGAAGCACCATCAAGAATCATATTTGCATGGGGAAAAGGTTAAAATTTGAAAACACAACAGTAATGCCAATGCCTTGGGTTAAACTGTATTCTGAGTTACTCCGCAAAAACATGGTTCTAAAACTCGATTCTTGGTTTGAACCACATAATCATGGTTCTAGAAGAGAAATATCACTTGCAAGTATGCAACTTAGGTATTACCTTCTAGGTCAAGGAACCCTAACAAAGTTCACTCACACTTAAGATCACGAGATTCAATTGCAAACCTACATCTTATATTACTCATATGCTAATTGAGTTTAATCAACTCTACTCAAAGTTGAGTAGTTGGCACAATGGTATCCTTACTTGCTAGAGCTATTTTGATTCAATAAATGCAACCCCACAAATCAAATTTTTTCTTGGAAAAATTATCAATAAGTCCTATTTTGCTCTTAAGATTACCATCGAGTCCTATCAAATTTTATTTTGGACAACTAAGTCCTAGTTTTTATAAAATGTTGCCCAAAAGTTCAATTCTCCATAATGGTGAATTTTATCCCAATTTTACCTTTCTCATTTAATATGAACAACAATTTTAGTTTACTTAAAATTATATATTTTAATTGTACAAATTATGAATATTATATTAACCAAAAATCATAAACAACATTTGGATTGAAAAAACTATAGCATCAAATTTCATCATTTTCTAAAATCCTCTGAAAGTCTTAACTTCAACATATGTTTCTGAACTAACTCCCTCTCCATTGCTGTATGAAGTTCAACCCAAAGCCAATGTCAAAAAGTGTTAAGCCGTTGCTTATGTACTAAATTATTATTTAACACAACAAAATGGTTTCACATCTAGTGGAAGCAATGGAAATCCAAATAATAACCATCAAGAAATTCCATACTTGGGCTTTCTTTTTCTATTTTTTTTTTGGCAAGTCCCATCCCCCTTTTTTTTTTGGGCTCACAAGGGTGTCTAGAGCTTCTCCCCAACTAATCCC